AAGCCCTCCGCGAAACCAAGTCAATACTCACACGTAGAGCACACCCGGCAGGTGGGCGGGAAAGGCGTAACCCGAACTGAGCTGCTGATGCTGCCGCTGCAGCTGACGCAGCTCCTCCAACCGCTGCAGCCTCTCGAGGTCCCGCTCCCGTTGGGCGGCGTCCTGGATGTAGCTGGGCGGTAAACTGGCGGCCACATCCGGTCGCCATTCGTAGTGATTGGGCAGAAGTGGCGGTCGATTGAGATCGAGGTGCTGGTACTGTTCCTGTTCCCGCTCCAGGTCCTCCAAGCGAAGTGGTAGAGGTGAGGTGTCGTCATCGTAGCCAGGAGGTGGTGAAAGGACAGATTGGACGCCACTAATCACGACGATGGAAAGGAGGAGCAGGTGAAGCAACATCTGAATGGAGGAAATAAATAGAAGGGCATCTTAGCACAAAACACAAATAAGTCCCACGTTTCAACTTTTCCAAGTATTTTCATATTTTATACATGTGCCTTATTTATGATGTTTGGCTTTAATATTTTGGAATGAAATCCCTTTCAAAACGATTACTAAAATGTAATTACACAGTAACATAAAAATTCATTGTTAATTGAAGAAGATCAACATAAACTCGGCAATTTTTGTTAAAGTGTAATTGGTAGGCGCTTTATTGGTAGTCAACTGTGTTTAATATATGTTTCCAATATAAAAATATATAAATTTAAGATACTAGTGCAATGATTTGCCATCTGCTAACCACCAAATATATAAATCTTTTGTATTTGTAATATAATTTCACGCAATCCCATACATTTAATTCCAATTCGCGCAACTTTAAAGCTGACCTTGGAGCATTTTAGCAGCAAGTGTATTCGTAACTTGAATTAATTGTGTCTCTTTGTTGCTTTTGGTTGGTGAAAGGTTTAGTTTTGGCGCCTTTCGCCGAGCAGCGAACCGGCCACGCCCACTGATGCGTTTAATTGAGTTTGACCACATTTAATTTGGCTAAAAATTGGAAAAGGGCGGAAAGGGGATCTCCCCCATGTTTTTGTTCGCAGCTTTTAGCAATCGAGTGGAAAGATGAATAGATTGTGGTTTGAGACAAATGCGGTGTGAAATATACGCAGGCCAAGCCCCAAGTGGGTGGCAATCCCCATACCCACACCCATACCCTTCCGTTTTCCATCCTCTTTTCGCATTTGCACCTGCTGGCGAAGGCCACACCGACTGATAAGCCACTTGCAGAGCGGCCTTTCTAAAACAAAAATCTTCGATTCGATTCGAGACCGCAAGCTCTGACCAAGCAACTTACGACCATTTGTCACGCGATGAAGAAGCATTCCAGTGGATGTTGAAATACTTGCCGCCAAATGCTGCACACTCTGCAAAACTAGTTGCAGTCAGTGAGTCGCATGCGTGCCCCAGATCCAGAGCTTTTCGAAGTTATTTTGGCTATTTTGGCGGCCCCGGGTCGGCTAATGACTCCAACCGGGTCAGATGACATAAGACATGAGATGCAAATGCAGCTTGATTGATGGCCCAAAGGAGCTAATGGAGTGCGCATCGTTAACACGCGTAATTTGCGCTCACCAGCGAAACATTGGCAAAACAAAAACTGACCACACATAGTGTAAGCACAAGCGTAAAAAAACAATGGAAAAAAGAAAAATATCGAACAAATACAAAAGACTCAAGACACGAACTTTGCACAGAGCCAGCGAATAAACTTCGATTAGATCGGCTAATTGCAGTTCAAGTCTAACGAGGTTCTAGGGCAATGTCAGACACTTAAAATACTGAATAAGTTTTCTTCTCTTAATCGTTGCAAATCGAAGAGTTCAATGGCCTCTTCGCCTTAGTTTTCTAAGGAAAGGGAACTTGACTCGCCCATATTCCCCTATTACTATATCTCTCTTCATCTGACCGACTACCGCACCCAACTTTCCCCCTTTTGTCCGGCCAAAATAATACCCCTGGTGACATATCATGTCATTAATCAATTCGCGGACCATGAAATTGTCTCAGTCGGACTCATTAGAGATATTTTGTTTTCGAACAACTCAATCACACATTCTCTCTATTTTCGCTGTATAAATATGAGCTTATGTAAAAATCGATATATTATTATTATTTTTCTTTTCTTTGCATTTTCTATCTTTTAATATATTTTTTATAGTGTTCAAAATATTTTATCTTTAATTAATGATCATATATTGTTTAGTCCTTAAGCTATCTCTGTGTTTCGTTTTATGGCAGACCTATATAAACGCCTAATAGCGGCTCTACATGCCTTTCTCTCCATAATATATGTTCTTTTTTTCGGCATTATTATACATTTTGGTAGAGAGGTTCGTAGAGTAAATGGGTGTACTAGATTTGGGCTTCTTGCGCAGCTCAAGTTTGTTTCAGCAGGGGGCCACGCCCACTATAACGACCACAAACGACTATAACACTAAATGCCGTCTAGCTTCCACATTTTGTAATATTTTGTAAAAATGACATTTTGTTCCTATTATCAATACCCATCTACAGGTGTAGAAGTGAAAAAGCAGAGTTGCTTTGAGCATGTCTCCATCCCTCTCGCGCTCCCTTAAGCTGAGTAATGGGTATCTAATAGTCGAGGCCATCGACTTTAGCGTTTTCTCTTGTTTGTTTTTGGTTATGCGGTGACCACCACTTATTCTTATCATATCATTTTTCTGCTCGTGATTTATCCATTTGAGATGTCATTCCTTTCTGGTCGGTTACATACGCACCATGATTACAGTATCCCGCTTATGGTCGCCTCCGCTGATGATGATAATAACTTGCGCCAAAGATGATGATGATGAGGCTGCTTGAACGCCTTGATCCGACTAAATGACGATGATCACTCCTTTGAGCGAACCAGCACAGACAACATTCACCAGTTCGCACGGATTACACTTAGGTGCACAAAAAAAAAAGAATTTAACCAAAAGTCCAAACTTGAGCCAAGTCCGACAGCAGAAAAATGGGATCCAAAACCAAAGACCAAAAACTAAAACCGAACCGAGCGTTAGACGAGCGCTGAGGCGACTGCAATGGCGCGAAGCTCTGACACGACGTTTTATAGTGTGCCGCCTTATTCTCTCAGGTCTCTGGTCTCGAATCTCGAACCTCGAGTTTCAAATCTCGCATATCGGAACCAAATAGTTGCCATTCATTGACCACCTAGAGATGCAGATGAGCGAAGGATGGATGGGTGGTTGGATGCTTGGATCACAAAGGCGGATTGAATCCGTTTAGAGCAACGGCAATTAATTGAAAAGGAAAGTGAATAGCTGCAAGCTCGGCAACCTAGCCACTCAGCCACTCGGCAACTCAAATTGAAACCATTTCAAACTCAATCAGCTACAACAAAGCGAGCACCGCCCAGCAACAACAATGGCTACTTTACGCGCTTTAAAGTTTTATACCAACGTCGGACAAGTGAAGCGCACACCCCTTCGAAACAACTATGTAAGTCATCTACAGGAAAACACGGCGATTAATCGAGTTCGAGCTACGAATTCAAACCCAAAGTCCGAGCATCGATAACCTCTCATTTCCGCAGCCAAAACTCAGCGGCAAGTGGCCGTCCGACCCATCATCTAAATCCCATTACAAGGGATTCACCGCCACGGGGCGTCCTCCACATCATCGTGGATATATCATCGTCATCGTCAGTGCATCGACGACATGTGGAATGGTCGGTGATTGTAAGTGAATTGTGGCACTCAGTGCGCCATGGAATGCCCCCCAAATTGCGTTAAGTACCCTAACTCAAGAGGGGTAAGGCAGAAATAAGAGCAAACTTACTAAATTGTAAAGCTAAAATGATATCTTCATTATTTGCATGAGTACAAAAGATTTTGGAGAAATAGGCTGAGGTCTTGTAAAATGTTTCATAGAAACTGCATAAGTAATCAAGCCAAAATCTCCAATTTATAAGCTTGACATTTCTTAAGCTTCATGTAGCACCATTTTTAAACGAGTATAACAGATATTTTAGACATCGTGTATTTAATAAAAAAATTGCTTTTTAGCACTCGCTAATAATTGAATATTAAATATGCGTTTTGCCAAATGCACTCTGTATAACTACATCATCGTGATAAATAAATTTTCCAAACACAGGGTATATCGTAAAGTCAGTGTTTGGCCGCCAAAAAATGAAAGGCCGTTGGGCATTTGCTCCACTTAATGCGGCAAGTGAAAGATGCTTTGGGCTCAGCCCCTTTACTTACCCCCTCCAAAGAGACGCCACGACGTGAAATGGAGGCAATGAAAGCTCTGTTTCGATTTGGGCCAGTTAATGCCAAATGAATTTGTCAAATTGTGACAATTAGGAGTAGACAGATGAAATGGCTGGGCGGCATGTGATGCAACCTCAAGGTTTCTGTGGCATGAACATACTATGTATATACTAACCGTCTCTGTTCCGGTCGTGCGCGAAATGGGGTCTTTGGTCACTTTCACGCAAATGAAAGAGAAACAAAAACAATGGCTGTGCATTCTGTCCAAGACGACCTTCGTTTTTCTAAGTTTCAGCTCCAAAGGTACTCCTCCATCTGGGGTGTGTTTTTGTTTGCTCACTGTCCCCCATTTGTAGCTGTGCAAATAAACAGTCTGGAAACCGTAACGTCTGGATTCCGTTTGGGTTTATTTGGGACTCGTTAGGTTGGGTCATCTACCAGCTACGGTTCGTGTTGTGGTGTAAAAACGAAAGGTGGAAGCCCGCTGAAGAACGACTCCAGTGACTCAGCCGAAGTGGAGTTATGTAAATTAAAAGAAAGCAAAACGGATTTAGGGTTTTGCCATATGCTATATGATGTCTTAGGTTCAAATTATAATGGTAATGTTCGCGATCGTGGGTGTTGAATTCTGAGAAAAGTAAAAGATTGTACTATTACAGAGTTGTGTGTTATATAGCCTAAGAAAAGTAATTTGTATTACTTAACTTTTTGCTCGATGACTCGTTTATAAAATTAGTATTGTATTACACTTTATTCGGGACTTTCGTATGCTTAACAACAAAAAATAACAGTTCTAAAGGCTAAAACGTGGTGAGCTTTTGGAGGTAGCTTATATCCTAAGGTCTGGCCCTCAGGTACAAATGTGGGCCGTTGGCGGAGGCGTCGTGGCCACCAGCCAGTCCCATCGAGGCGGCCGGCAGATACTCGTTGAGGTTGAGCGAAAACGTGGGCGGAAAGTGCTTGTCCTTGGCCTCGCGATTGATCCTGTAGGTGTTGCGGAAGGCGGCGGCCGGATTGATGGAGCCGGCGGCGTATCCCTGGAGGGCTGCGTAGTTCGGCGGCAGAGCACTCAACACAGCTGCTGTCCTTCCCCCAAAGTCCGGCTGTCCACCGGCGGAGATGGACGGAGGTCCTGCAGCCGCAGCGGCAGCAGCCGAAAGATACGGCGAGATGGGCACTATAATTGGTCGGGTGGGGATCAGCTGGAGATACTGGACGGTGTTCCCGGTACCATCTTGGATCGACTGGGCCGGCAGGTATTGCATGAGCATGGGAGTCGACGGGAGGCTGGCCACGCTTGGGGTTCCGGCCGTTTGCATGGGCGTGAAGTTGGTCTCCATTTCGGGCATCTTGTACGAGGGCTTGAACGCAGGATCCGTGGGCGACAGGACCTGCGTCTGAACCTGGTTCTGGGCCATGTCATAACCACTGGCATAGGCACTCAGCGAATTCAGGTGGGCCTCCTGCTGCTGCTGCTGTTGCTGTTGCACCTGCTGCTGCACGCTGTTCGGCGACTTGGAGCCCTTATTGGATATTTCCGGACTCGAAACGGGGGATCCCTGCAAGAGGGGCACCGCAAGGAGCTGCAGCAGGAAGAGGTGGCAGTGGATGTGGATGTGTCGGTGGCACAGCATCTACGCGAGGCGGTAGAATAAATCCAAAACAAAAGTTCTAAATTAAAATTGTTTTCAAGGCAGAGAACCTGTTTGATAGAGTTATTATAAAATTATTTGCAACTGAAACCAAATTACTTTGCATTTAACAAAATCTGAAACTTCAAAGAGACGTTTTGATAACATATAAATCAATAACTCAACCTGCTAATTCGTTATTTGTTATAAACCTATTGTTGCTTTTAACTTATTTGGCAATACTATTTTTTTAACATTCAATTTAATTTCATTGCCATTTAATGGTTGTCTCTTAACGAATTATAACTAGTTCTTCGGTACAAAGTATCTTTTATGTAGAATTTATTATTTTTCACTTATCAAATCCATAGTTTTGTATCTCGAATAAACACAGAAAAAAAAGGAATGGGATTTTTCACCTCGCCTGATTTTTGCCTGCGATTTCAATATTATTTGGGAGCGTGGAAAACACTTGCACTTTTCCTGGCGAGCGACGCGCTTTGATTAACTCGGCTGCATTGCAAGCTTGGCTTTTATATATCGCTTGACGGCCAATTTTCCGCAGTTGGCAATTGGCAACTGGCAACTGGCTGCAGCTCCGACTGCACTTTTAGCCAGTGTAAAACACGCCAGCATCAGCAAACAACAAACAACATCAACAACATTTGGCTGGTACTTCTCTGGAAGCATTTCAGCGGCATTGTTGCGTGTGTCGGGCTGTGCATGTTGCTGCTGGCTAGTTGCAAGTTGCTGGTTGCTAGTTGCTATTTGCTAGTTGCTAGTTGCCAGTCGCCGCCGTGCCCATCGCTTTTGGCCACGCTTCAAGTTCAAGTTTACAGCCATCGCGCATCACAGCTTTGGTTTCGTTATCGCTAACGTTTTCGTTTTCGTTTTCGATCGACTTGACTTGTTTTGTTTTGATTCATCCGCTGGTTCCGTCTTCCAAATCCGACTCCGAATCTGTGGCTTTGGGGGCGTGTCGCCTCTGGATCTCGGATCGGAGGCAGCGTCCTGTCCTCTTCCGCATTGCCATTTGGCCATGTGGATATGGTTAAACTGGTTTCCACATCTTTTCGTGGGGATGTCAGCTTTTTTTCCAGCTACCAGTCGCAAGTAGTCGGTAGTTGTCCGTTTGCAATTTGTTTTACTGGTTCGATTAGGCGGAGGAACAGTGGTTTTGCTAATTTAATGGATCAATTTTTCAAACATTTTAATGTACAATTTTAAAGCACTACAGTGAGATTTTATTCAAAAATTGCTAGAGGTGTGTCGTCTAAAGGTATATTTTTGCAAGCGATTTACAATTTAGAACAGATAAAATAACCAACGTTAGAAAGATATTTAGAGAACGAAATTTCACATTCCTAGAGGTATTTTTAAATTAAAATCTAATTGGCGAAGTTATTTAACTATTTATGTATTTTTTGGTCACCACTAAACCATGAGATCGCCTTACTGTGCCCATTAAAACACTTTACGCATTACTTAACCCAAAAATTTAGCTATTGACTCAAGTTCAACTGATAATTTGTTATGGGCCCAGGATGGTCAGCTCCCGATTCCGATTTAGGTGGCGAAGCTCTGGGCGCTTTCCTGCATCTGGGGCGGTATGGGAGTGCCCGGCTCTAGCGGCCCGAAGATCATCGAGGAGCAATGGTGATGCAGGGAGCGGCGCCAGTCGAGCAGGCCACAATGGATCTTCCGGGGCAGCGCAGTGGCCCAGAGGGTGAGCCACAGTAGACAGGCTCCGATCAGGCCGGTGGTCAGGCCCAAGGTCCAGTACTCGCAAGCCAGGAAGGTATGCTCCTCGACGGCCAAGGCCTGGAGGACACCCACAATGGCGCACTGGCAGAGGGACTCTATGCGGTGCCACAGCTTGGTCAGGGTCACATCCAGCACCAGGCAACAGATGCCCGTTTCCAGGAGGAGCGCTCCCCAGGATGTCTGATTGCCCCGATTATGCCTGCCTCTGAAGCGCCCGTGATCGGTGGGCATGGCGCTGGGAAAGATCCTTGTGGCCTGGAGCAGGGCCACCACGCAGGCCGAGAAGAGCCAGGCGCCCAGAAGAGGAGCAGCGGAGCCGGGTGATCCGCGGAAGTAGTAGTAGTACGAGATGCCCAGCACGGAGTGAAGCACCACCGCTATGCTCAGAGCCGTAAGTCGAGCCATCTCGAGAGGATCTTAATCTCAGCCTTCCTTCCTTCTAGTTACACGAGAGTCGAATGGGGCCGAATTGCTTTTGAACTCTGAAATTAAACTAAAGTTGTCAACTGACTTATGAAGTTTGATTTACTACTTCTTCGCACGTTTTTGAAAACGGATGATAGATATATTTGAGTTATATATTTTGGGGAAATAGTATCCATCGATGGGGCCACGGAAATCACTAGGGCTTTGAATTCACTTCTAAAGTTGTCTAAAAGTATGTACTCCGAAAGATTGTGTTAATTTTTCACTGCATACTTTTAGACACCTTTAAAAGCAAATTCGAAAACCCTAGTAATTTATGCATCTCCACCCCCTTTCAAAATAGTTTTTCTCCTCGTGTAGTCACAGTCACTGTCCGCGTCACGGTTGGAGTCACAGACATCGCAGCAATTATCGCCACAAGTCAAACTGGCTCGATGTCAAGGCCTTGTTTTCCTCATTTCCAGTGGGCTCATTACGTGAGGCAAGTGGAAATGGGAAATGCGCTCAATAGTCGTCAGATTACTTTCATTTTTCTTTGAGAGCTTTGCTCTGCAAGCTTTTGGAGTTGTAACTTGATCAGAGCGGAGCTTAAGTTAAAGTTTTTCCAGATCTGAGGGCTCAAAGGCCTTGGTAGATAAGTTTTAATCGAGAGATTTAATACAAAGCTTGTCATTTCACTACTAAAATAATGAAAGCCCCAAGGCCTGGTATTTAGTACTTCATTATTTTAAAAACTCGCATTCACTTAAAGCCACGAAAGCTGTCAGAGCTTTTTAAACACCCGGCAAAGATGCAACCCAATCGTCTTCGCTTTTTTCTTTGGCATACTTCAAGGAACCAACTCTGAGCTGCAAATGATCCCATAAGCCCTGGATGCACTTGCTCCTCTCTGCTCTCTGCCGACATGACGTCCCAATCCTGGTGTTCCAGCTCCGCCTGCTCTGTCAGCAAGTCATAAATCTTCGGCTCCGACTGAACTTGATACATCAAAATGTTGGTCAAATTAAATTTCTTGCGCCTCGCCTTTCCCCGGCATTTCCCCGGCTTTTCCCCGATTTTCCTGCAGTTTTCACTAGGAGCAGCTGCCAAGTAATTCGTCAAGCTGCTTTGTCCTCCTCCAGCGGCTGCGTTCTTATCTCATCCTCTGGGTGAGCATAGTTGCTCCATCTGCAGCTCCAGCCCCCCTTAGCTGTTCAACTGTCTGTCTCCGCCACCCACAGCTCACCAACCACCACCCACTATTCGTCCGCTTTTTACCCACCCCCTTTGGCTGGCTTTCATGTCAACTGCATTTTTCTTTTGCTGTGTTGCTTGTTGTGTGCGCTTTTTCACTGCTTTAAACCACTTAATGGGTTTTTTTATGCGGACCTGGCTTAGTTGGAAAAGCGCAAGGAGGGTGGTCTGCAAAAGGGGGCGGAGAATGGGGGAGTGGTGCCTAGGGGCTATTCATGCTGCAGCTTTCTTGTAGCTTCATTCACAAAGACTTGCAATTCATCAAATCTCGTTAGCCTCGGCTTTTATAGAAAATCTGCAGCTGCTTTTGCTTCTGCTTTTCTTTTCGGGCTTTTGGGGGCTGCTCTCCTCGCATTCAGCTGCCACGCCCACAGACACTGAGAGGGCGTGGCCACAGCACAGATTCGCATCCACATCCGCATCCATTTTTCCATTTCCAAACGCACACTGTACGGCAATGGCAGTGGCAACGGTATCCCATCTCCTCTGTCATTATTGACTGGCAAAGTCTTTAAGGCAACTTTTGCTCCGGTCTCATGCGCTTAACTTTAAGGGCTTTCCATTCCCCACCTGAGCTGATCTCCTCCGTTCCGTCCTCGTTTCCTTTGAGCTAATGAAAAGTGTGTGTCTCCTGAAATGGAGTGGAATCCTTGCAGCTGCAACAGACCCCCCAAGTGAGCTGCCTGCCTAAGCGAAACTAAACCAAAGCCCTGCCAGGGAACTACAATAAACGAGCTAGCCAATGCATTTTTAATGCCAGCACCACCCAACCACTTATATACTTGGATACATCGGAGATTGAGGTGAGGGTTATTCTGTTATCCAGGTTCGCTTGCCTCATAAAAATTACAAGCATTGTAAGTTTGCTGGTTAAGGAGCGTTTTTCGTGCCCCTTACAACACTTTTCTCTTATCAGCTCTGCAGTGGCCGATAGTGTTCTCAGTCTTTACATTTCATATATAACTTATCAATAGGTGTAACCACAGACCAACTTCTATCTAAGAAAATCCATTGACCAACATTCCTTGGCCCAACGTGGCTAGTTAACACTAATTGACCAACATTGTTATAACTACGTTGGCCAACCCTGAGAGGTTTAAACTTTAATGAATCTTTTTAACACTTGGCCTACTAATTTATCAACACTGTTAGCATAACGAATTATTGAAATACATACTCCAGGAACTTAATCCTTTGAGTGATCGCAGCTATACCCTTGATCAACACTGCTTGACCAGTGCTCTCTCTTTCTCCTTCAGTGTTGGACAGGCCATGGCGTCGATGCCAAGTGTTGGCAAAGCGTTTGTGCGGCACTTTGGGTAAGTGGGAGCGCACATTGAAGCAGCTGCTCCTGGGCACCGTTTTTCTCCACCTCCTCCAGCCAGCAAGCTCCTTCATTTGCTATTGCCTCTTGGCAAAGTGCCCCATATCACGCACAGGCAAACATTGCAAGGACCCCAAATGCATTCAATTAACAATTTCTCCGGCTCTAGCCCTGGCATAAAACTTTGCTGGCTGCTGGAACTGCTACTGCAAAACTGGGAGCAGGAGGCGGCGGTGGCTTTTAATCAAAAACTTGC